CTGGGGAAAGACCTCGCTTCTCAGGTCAGTTTTCTTCTTTTATATGCCTCATTATAGATCCATTGAATATTGATATTTCAATGCATTGTCATCATGTATTTTTTCCATGTTACGTGCTTTATTGTTTCTGTAAGTTGTAAATGAGAAGTAATTTATTTTCAGCTTGAAGAATTATGTTGAAGAAACTCTTTTGTTGTACACCCAAGGATATATGTGGCTGGAAAAATCATCTATATTGACAGCAGTTGTTTTCTACATAAGATGGAAGGAAATGTTAGTTCTCTAAAAGAGGATGACACTTGGACAAGATATCATTAAACATAAGGAAATGGGAAGTATTGTTTGAGACAATAAGAAAGTAAAACATTATCAAAGATAGAAAGGGGAAAACAGTATGGACTGCAGCATTTTAATGTGCTCCCAGACGTCCAGCCCACATTGGATATCTGTTATCAGAGGAAAGATCAGATGTATTCATTACTCTCGAGCTTAACTGATTAATTATAAAAAATATTGTGACTATATGCTGTTTAATACTACTCAGTTTTATGAGTTTAATTTGCTTTTGCAGGTTCAAAGTATGAACATCACACAATGGAAGGAAAAATTTCAGAGAATAGGTGATCTGGTGAATGGAGCTCGACTTTTGAAGCTTTAGAGAGTGCAATGATGCTGCTGATATTGTGATTCAGTATTCTTTAATTGCAAAGTCGTTTCAGGCACTCTTTTCAAATTCAAATGACCCTTCTTTCCCTTTAGACAAATCTCCTGTGGAAATAACTGAGCTCTTGTCCCTTAATTGCCTAGTTGCCATGTTTTACTGTTTCAACATTTTGCCATGGCCATGGATAGGCTTCCAAGTTTTCTCGGATCCAATTTTTGGAGGCTGCCTTATCTCCCTAAAATTTCTATGGCTTAACCATCTTCCCAATATCCTAAAAGAATGCTTGAACCGAGGGAGCAGATGCACGATAGCGGCATGATGATCTCCTCCATCCTGTGATTTATTGCTGCATTGACAGAAAGGCAAAGGATTACCACAGCTTGCTAGAGATATGAAAATGGAGCAATGGTGGGAGACTTTGACTGATGCTCTGTTGAGATCCAGCTGATGATGCTTCAGGTAAGAGCTGCATGATGGTGGACACTTGACGTGGGTTGGGAAATTATTCTGGCATTCTGCTCAATATTTTTGGACCAAATGCAAATATTGCAAAATTTACCTATTTAGTTTTTGTTTAAATTCATGGTCAACTGACATAACAAAATTATAACTAATATCCTCAAATTTTCTTGATTAACACTACAATTTTCAAATTGTACCTTAACACAATATTAACTGGATAAGAAATTAACGGGTTAAGATTGATTGTGTTTCAAGATAACCTAAGAATGATATACATCACTAGCACAAATAAGTATATGTATTAATGTCAAACATATAAATAACTCGATTTCGACATGATGAATACATTTAGTTGGTATTATCTAAAAAGGAATAGTGATGCCATTTATTTATTTATTTTTTTCCCCTCTAGTATTGTGTGAAATAGAGATTTTTTTTTACTTGATCTTATAAGCATCTAGACTAAGTAGACTTTGATGAAAAAAAAAAAAATTCTTATGGAAAAGCTTATGTGCAGGGAGTGTGGTTGAGAGAGTATAGTCTTAAACATGGATTTGTGGCTTATGGGTGGTTATACATGTCAATTGAACATAAATCAATTATTATTATTAAATGAATTAAGTTAATATTAATTTTTTTGATATTACTAATTAAATATATTAAATAAAAATTATTTAATAATCGAAGATGAAGAGGGACACTCAATGTTGAACAAATATAAATTAGTTGGGTCATGTCTTTTTATTTTTTTTGGGGTAAAAAAAAGAAATTTATTGCATTAGTATTTGTTCCTTTCTTTGCAACCAAAAACCATTTCAAGTCAACCGGCAAAGAATGTAGAGTTAACTTAATATGACCCCAAATTAAGTCATTTATGTCAATTAAAGTTTTAAATTAGTTTTTGTATTAATTTAATTTCTCAATTATACAATCTAATTCTGACTTTATTGTTTAAATTCACTATTAATTTTAACAAAAAATCTTATATACACATCAAATGTATAATTTATAATTATTTTGATTTGTAATTTAATGTGATGTGTGTATGGGAAATTTATTTTATGATTAAGGGATTAAATTTTCGTCCTGGCGGGGTTTAAAGAGAATTAAATAGATACAATTTTACGCTGGTACATATGGAGATTGTTTTCATAACCACCGATACTAAATTAGTTCATAGGACTAATTGACACAATGACCCCATATGCGTAGTTAGCAAAGTACACAGCGCCAAAGTAACGAACACGCCATGGAGTTGCCGGAGTGCCCGGTGTGCCTGCAGTCCTACGAGGCCGTTTCCACCATCCCTCGTGTACTCGCCTGTGGCCACTCGGCCTGCGAGACCTGTCTCACGCAGCTCCCGAAGGCCTCCCCTCACACCATTCGCTGCCCAGCATGTACCCAACTCGTCAAGTACCCACACCCACAAGGGCCATCAGCTCTGCCGAAGAACATCGACCTTCTTCGCCTCTCCTCTCTCCTCCAAAACTCAAATTCTAGCAATCCCCGAAAATCAACCCACAAAGAATTGGCTCAAAAAGTTGAAGAATTTATGCCCAATCTGTGGTCTTATGAGTTCTATTTGAATTGGAAGGAGTGGATTGTTCCAAGAGACGCGGTTTTGGTTGAATCGAATGTTGAAAACAATGGGTTTTTTTCTGTTTTGTCTGGAAGGATTGTGCAGTGTGATGGTTTAATAGGATGTTCGATGAGTTGCTTGTTGAAAGAGAATCAACTGGTGAGCCTGGTTAGAGTTGGTTCGTACTTGGGTGGAAATGAATCAAAGTTCCGTTATAGTTATGTTGCAAAAATTATGAGTGTTTTATATGGAATGAGGGATGGCGAAAGAAGTGAATTGGGTTTGCTTATGGGTTCCAGTTTGAAGCAGTGTCGAATGTGTAGGGTTTTTGGGTTGTGGTATAATACGGAGGATTGGTCTTTATATGTAGTGTCTGAGAGGTATGGTGGCAAGCATTTGAATGATTTGGAAAATGGCTCGCTTGGTAGAGATGAGGAGAAAATGAATTTGGCTGTCAAAGATGACATGCCTACCTTTGCAATTATCGGTATGGAGCTATGTGAGGCAGCTAGTGATTTGCATTCACAAGGATTAATTTTGGGTAGTTTATCTCTCCCCTGTTTCAATGTTGATCATTTTGGTCGTCTTTATATGGATTTGAATGAAGTCATGGTATTGGGTAGGAGAGTTAGTAAAATGATTGCGGAGGTGGTTCGTATGAAATTAAAATCTGATGACAAAGAATTAGATGTGTTGCTGAAAATGGATGCATTGAAAATAGACGCATTTGTCAGTCCAGAAATGTTGTTAGAGTTCTTACAGAAAGAGAGTGTTGAACTGGCTTCTGGTTGCTTGAGATATGCAGTCGGGTATGGTTCAGATGTTTGGTCATTAGCTTGTTTACTCATTTGCCTTCTTATCAGAAGGCCGTTTACTGAAGAGATGCAGCATTATTATGGTCTTTTCCCTTCACTGATTGAGGAAGAGGGTTCTGATTATATGGGTTTGTACACAGGTTGGATGGAAAAAGTTATTGGTTTGTTGGAACATAGATTGGGTTCGGAGTTTCTGTCATTAAAAGATATTCTATGCAAGTGTTTGAGTTATGACCCAGGAAGTAGACCAGTTGCAACTGAGCTATGGAAATGCATTAGACAGTTAGTTATTAAACCCGAGTGTGACATGATGGTTGGTTTGGAGCACAAGGTGAATGAGGAGAACTCAAGTCATTGCTTGGTTCTTGGGGAACTCTGTCAGTTACATCTTGAAACTTACAAAGGATCAAAAAGAGGAATTATAGATGGCTTTCAGCCTAAAGATGACAATGATAAATGCAGATGTGGATCAAGTTGCAGAAGGGAGGGTTGACAAAGATGTTGTTGAGGGCTTATCTGGGAGTCATGTAAAAAGTATTGATCTGAAGGGTCATATTGATTGTATCACCGGATTAGCTGTTGGAGGTATAGATTTTAATAGTGCAATCTTGATTAAGGGCCTTTATATTTTTTGATATTCTCTACTAGCTCTTCAGTTACTTTAGGTGTTGAACAGCCAAGTATCCTTTGATTGCATTGCTCCAAAATTTTATTTGTGGCATTTGTGTGTGCCATCTCTATGTTGCCAAGTAGCAGTTCCATTCTGGTAGAAAAAGGGGACGTTCTAGCACTCAAACGATAGAAATGCCTACAATCTTGGAGGATTGGGAATTGACAAACACAGCATCTCTGAAGATGGTGACTGTATATCTTGTAATGTATTGCCATGCTGATGCAATTTTAAAGAATATGACGAACATGGTTTTTTAACAAGCAAGCTGTAATATTTTCATGTCTAGTTTTTCTTCATATTCATATATTTGCAAATTGTTTGTCTCTTAGGTTGTTTTAGGGTTATGGATGGATGATTCATATCATCTTAGTCGTATGCAAGAAAAAACAAGATCTATTCTTTGAATCTTCTCACTTGTTTCGTTTTTTTTTGGAACAATTTCATGTCTGTTACTACTGCTAGTTTTTGTAGTTGTGATGTTATTTAGAAATCTTTGTCCTTGGAAGAGAAATTCAATGATTAATATGATGCCTGTGTACTTTTGAATCATCACTTTGTTGGTTTCTTGTTCATTAAAGATCTTGCAATTTGAATATCTTGTTTTTCTGTTGTAGGGGATTTTTTGTTCAGCTCCTCGTTTGATAAAACAATCTGTGTATGGTCTCTGCAGGTACACACCCTAAATGGATATATGGTGGTTCTCAAAAATATTTGTCTGACTCATACAAAATCATATGGTTTATGTTGACACCTCCTGATTATTAGGTTATACTTTAGCTTTCAGAAGCTTTAAGAGATAGAAGTGTGTTATGGTATAGAGCCACAGTCAAGGATGTGCTGTAGCTATATATTTATTTATAAATTTATATTGTACAAATATTCAACATTATATGTAACAACTGTATATATGATGCATTTTTCACTACAGAACAATGCTCCTGTTTTAGGTCCAGATCTAAATCCTTATCAAGAAATTGATTCCTTTAACTGAACTGACATGCAATGGCATGTACGAAATTGCTTATCATGATAAACTGATAATTATTGGCCACTATTCATTACTGTGACTTATACAAACTAGCTTATATGTAGTAGATCTACAAGTAAGATAGTGTCTACCTGCTATCTGAATGGTCAAATGTATGTTGATAGATCTGTTTTCAGAATTTTCACCAGCTCATGGAGAATCTCCCTAGGTGTTGAAAGAATTGTATGTACAATTATTGCTAAGGATAAGTTGATGTAACCTGTACCAGGGTCGTTTAAAATAAGAAACGGGAATGCTAAACAAGATGGAATGGGGAAAAGAGAAGGAAAAGAAGAAGAACTAGGGAGGGTGCAAAAAATGTACTCTGAGCCTTTTAATGATCAGAGAAAGATAGAAAGACTTACAATAAAGAAGAAAAGAATCTTTTAAAAAAGTCAGATTAATAAAGCAGAAAGGAACTGAAAGAGGGAATGACATAAGATCTCCTTACTCTTATGCTCGATTGTAGTTTTTGTTTATTATTCTTTTTACTGATGTTTCCCACATCCCCTTGCAGGATTTTACTCCTGTGCATTCATTTAAGGGTCACGAGCATAGAGTCATGGCTGTGGTTTTTGTGGATGAAGAACAATCGTTGTGTATAAGCGGTGATAATGGAGGTGGCATTTGCATCTGGGGCGCTAGCATTCCATTTGTTCAAGAACCAATGAAAACATTGTACGAGCAAAAGGATTGGCGCTATAGTGGTATTCATGCCCTTGCCGCTTCTGGAGCTGGGTATTTCTATTCTGGAAGTGGAGATAAGACAATAAAGGCATGGTCATTGCAGGTAGTGTCTTCTTCTTATTTATGAATTCTCTAGAGTTATACCAATATATTTTGTGCACTATAATAAAGTTCTATGGTCTGTTTTCCCTTTCTTCAGGATTACACTCTGTCATGTACTATGAGTGGTCATAAATCAGTTGTGTCTGCACTGACAGTTTGTAACGGGGTTCTTTATAGCGGAAGTTGGGATGGAACTATCAGACTATGGTGTCTTAGTGATCATAGTCCTTTGACAGTATTTGGGGAAGACACGCCTGGAAATGTGACCTCTGTTCTATCTCTTGCTGCTGACCAGCGTTTCCTTATTGTGACTCATGAGAATGGGTGCATAAAGGTCCTACACTTTTAAACCTTAGTTTTGCTAGGTTATGTTTGTTAATATTTTTATGGGCATCTTAACACTGCATGGAAGTATAATTACATGATTTCTAGTTGTCCCTGGATATTAGCCATCAACTTATTCATGTATTGTAATCACCAGAGTTTTCTTCTGAAGAAATGATAGGATTGGAACATTGACATATGCAATCTTAACGTATGTGTATGTTGCCTTGTAAGTCACCATGTCACATTTTTTATTGTGGGTTTGCACTTCCAAAAGCTGTAAACTAGCTGATTCTAGTAGTGGATCAGCAATCTGCCGGTGTACTTTATGTTATAGGACACAATTGTGGAATTTATTACCAAAACACAGTTGTTTTGGACCTTTAATACCAAAATATGACACTTTTGAACTTATTTACCAAATTACGGCACTTTTTAAAAGCGGATTCAATAATTCTGCATTTATTAAAAAACAGATTAAACAACTCTGCTTTTGTTGAAAAGCGGATTCAACAAACCCGATTTTATTGAAAAAAAATATTTTGGGCAATGAGAAAAGTGTGTTTTGTAAACACGCTTTTTACGTTTTTTTTTGTGAAACCCGTGTTTATTAATCACGCTTTTCATACTGACATATTTACATGTCAACACAACCAGGCATATAATCACAAATGTACAAACAATCCCCTTTAAATTGACTCCCGAGCAACTTATTACCCTGTTCACGGTTTAAACTCCAAACCCCAGATGCCAAATGAGACCTCAGTGATCTACAAATCTTTCTTCTCTTAGAAACAGCAAAATCACAAGCTGAAGCCGGTTCACAACATCCTTAACATAGGATTCAAGCATGACATAGGAAACCATCACAAAGAACATAGATTTCTTTTCTAGTGGATCTAGAAGACTCAGACCCATTATTGCATTTCAATGGATTCAAACAAAAAATTTGCATTTTGAAAAGCCCATAAACGATGAAGCTGGTGAGTTCCAATCAAAGATCGATCAAGAGGAACTAGAAACTCACTGCCATTATTAGTCTTCAAGAAAAGCCTTGAACAAAACCCAAAAGTGCCACAGGGAAGAGCTTTCACTGGATTCAAGATTTTCCTTCCCAAATCAAATGTACAGTGCCAACAAAGACCCAACAGAGAGAGAGAGTAGAGAGAAGCCAGGTTCTGCACACCAGTTGAAACACTTTAAAAACGTGGTTAGTAACCACGCTTTTAACGTGTTTCAGCTCATTATTGTGGACCACGTTTTTTATTTAAAAGCGGGATCATTGATCCCGTTTTTTAACAAAAGCGGAGTTGTTGAATCCGCTTTTTAATAAAAACGGAATTATTGACTCCGCTTTTAAAAAATGTCGTAGTTTGATAAATAAGTTCAAAAGTGCCGTATTTTGGAATTAAAGTTTAAAAATAACTGTGTTTTTGGTAATAGATTCCACAATTGTGTTGGTTTAATAATTATGTTTGAAAAGTAGTAAATATTTGTTCTCTTTGTTGCTCTTGTTTCAGATTTGGAGCAATGATGTCTTTCTAAAATCCACACAAGTTCACAATGGTGCTATATTTACTGTTGGCATGGAGGGGAAATGGCTTTTTACAGGGGGTTGGGACAAGATTGTTAATGTACAGGTACATGTAGAAAGCGTATGATATTGGTATAGATTCCATCAACATCATTTTAATGGCCTGAGGCTCTGAATTAGGAATGGCTACTTAAAAACATATTCAAAAGTCCTCTACTGTACTTTCTAGTTTGATACTGTATCCTATAGAATTTTATTGTGATTTTTAATAAAATAATGTTAATACTATCTTGGCGGGCTTAGCAAGTTGTCTACCGATTTGTAGGAGCTATCAGGAGACGAGTTTCGAATGGATGCCATACCAATCGGATCTATTGCTTGCGATTCTGTCATAACATCTCTGTTATACAGGCAAGGAAAGCTTTTTGTTGGACAAGCTGATCGAATCATCAAGGTATGGTCTTTTTGTTTATTCTTCCTGAGACGATCACTATAAGCTTTCTTTGATTCTCCTGATGCAATGCTGTGCCACGTCATGTCTGTGCTATGAAGATGAACCATTTTGCAGTATGTTGATGCCGTTAAGTTCCATATTCTCCAAAGCAGGCATTAATTCTATCTGAAAATTTCATGCTTCATATAGACATATTAGTTCATGGTAATTTTGTTCTAGAAGTTAATTAGAAGCTCAATGAAAAGCAAATTAAAAGGAAGGAATCATGAAATCAAATGGATTTCAGAGTAGGGCCACTTGGGTCCTCAAGTAGCCGATTTTTTAGTTAACTAGAGTGCTACTTAATGGGTATTTCTAGGTTAGATAGAATTTTGTAGGTCAGTTCTGTGCATGAACATTAAAGAATTTGGACAATGAAAGTAACACACATGCTTCAGGAAATTGTGAGTAATTTGGTTAACTTCCATTTTTTCTGAATGTGGACTGTAGTACGGACCCTTTGGCTTCCTTTTGTTATTAGTTGATAATCTTAAGCTTCTGATTTTTATATCAAACCTAAACAGGGTGGGATTAGTCCCATCATTGAAGAAATTTATAAACTTGGGGTTTCTATACAATTTTTTATATTTACTGAGAAAATAATTCACCATAACAAAAAATTCTCTCTCATGAAAAGTAGTTCTCTCCTTTTTGTACTTCATTTTTAATATAATTATATTTTCATTCAACTTGGAAAAAACAAAGGGAAATGAGGTTCAGTCATTCAAACAAATAAATACCATATTTGCCTTGTCCATAAACTAGGTGTCATTCGTAACTTTTATAAGATTGAACCACCAACCTTCAAATTTTTGCAGAGTATGGGGCACAACTGTAATATAAATATTCAAAACATTTTCAAAATTTTGAATAAGCCCCACCATTTTTGGGGCTTTATTGGAATGGATGGCATAATGCAGGGATGCCATTTCCTTCCAAGTGTTGAAGCATAAATTCAAGCTAATATTGTTTTGAGTTCTAAACATGACTATTATATGCAATTTATTGCAAGTGTTTAAATGCTTTGAAATTTTTTGTCTTGGTGAAACAAGATTCTGTAACATTTCCTGAAAGCTTTGAAGTTTCTCTTTGTTCTATGTTTGCCAATGGCATCTGGGTGTCATGTCAACTTAGGGTTCTTCCATTTTGGTTTCCATAGCACCGGAAGCTGGAAGTTTTTTTTTTTTTAAATGCAATATTTGGTGCATGGCATGCCAAAGATCATCTAAAAGAAAAGCAATAAAGTCATCAACAATAGTGGTCCTAAAGATGAGGCAATAGAATACCTTTGGTATTCAGTTTATCTTACATTATGCTTCGTAAAGGACTTGCGACCTTTCTGTGAAGGAGCATAATAAGTTAATCATGTGCTGGAATTTTCACTTAGTATTGTGAAAGTCAATTACAAGCATGCAAACTTCGTATTTTTATATTGCAATGAGATTTTGCCAGGTATTCTATTACGGCGTGTGATTGAAGTCTCTGTTGGAGGTGGTTTTGATGACATTATGGAGTGTGATTGAAGTCTCACTCTGAGGATCTTCTGGATTATCATCTGCACTCATTTAGAGACCGAGTGGATGGATTTAGGCAGAGTGCCATTAACTTATGTTGTTGAATGTCCCCGAAGTGACCTGCAAACGGATTTTGATAAACAAGACAGGTCTGCATACGTGTTGTAAATTAGATCATGTACCATGGAAATTGTTTCTATCAGTGTAAAGTGACTATTAACAGAGAAGTATATAATGGAGAAGTATTTTTGTATAGCAAGCCTTTGTAAAGATACTGTGGTTGAGCCTTTGTAAAGGCGGTAAAATTGTCACGACATGAAAATCAAGGGTTTGAGGCCAAAACAATCTATCCGCCCGTGGGGGTACGACTCACTAGAGCTAACTCTTCTCAAATCCTCCGAGGTTGGGAGTCTTGTACGGTGGATTTTATAGCTTGCAGAAGATGTATGCTTTTTTCATCTCATTTATAATAGGATCTTATGTAATCTAAATTTTTTTGGTCGAAAAAGATTTATAATCCTGTTGTTCTGTTGCTAAAATGATACCATGGAAGCATGCAAGACAACTGAAGTTACACAGTTGCATACAGATGAGCTGAGCCAATAGGATGAATCAAACGAATTCTGCATCATAAACTTTGTTCCATGCACATCACTTAGACGGGTTCTGAAAAGTTGGGAGAAATGAGAAAATAGAATACACAAGAAAATACCAGAAATGAAAGGTTATCAGATTCTATTTATTCGTACTGTGTCAGAACTTCGAGCAATATTATATATTACACAAATTTTGTAGAGGATGAGCTGATATAAACGTTGATGCTCCATTTCTACTCCCCAATTTTTCCTCAAATTGTGAGTAGCGTTTGCCTCGAAAACTTTTAACATCTGATAATAATAAGAAGAAGAAAATTATGGATTACTTCAGGATAGTACTATGATGAATTAGCTTACAATGAATAATTAAAAAGGTGGTATCGACTCTGCAAAATTCATATCTATAACAAGATTTGGGAGGGATATATGGGGACAAACTCATTCCCATATTTGAACAAACTATATATCGTTTGGGCAAATGAGCATTTGTAATCGTTCCATGTCTGATCTCTAATTACCATGAATAAGTGACATGCTAAGAGCAATACTAGAAGTTTTCTTAGAACTTATCTTAGCTTTTAGATGAGATGAATCACATATTGTTCCATATCTCTATATTAATAAAACAGAGTGTGTTCTATTTAAGTTTCTAACTAAGAAAAACAAAACAACGGTTTAGTTCATTTATATCTAATGACTGATAAACATTTTAACACTCACTTATGTTTTAACCAAACTAAAAAATACACATTTGCATGAGTTCACCCTAGTTGTTGATAAATCATGGAGCTGCTTGTATGAGTAATTGACTTTCGGGGGGAATATAAAAACACAGATGAAGTTGCAAATCCATGTCCCTATCTTTTATATGTCACAACAAAAAATTTACGAGTACTACAAAGCTGAAATCCAACTGTTGACCAGATTATTATATGCTAATTAGTGTGTTATGCAATAGGTTTCATTTTTTTTTTGGTAAGTATTATTGACCAACTTATTCATACAAGAAATAAATTCTGTAATGAGCTGAAATTCAGAAATCTTAAATTTAAATTTTGACAATTTTTTAGTATCAGATTATGAGGAATTTATCTCTTATGAATACTCTAATCTCAGTGTAGATGACTTATCTTTGATCAGACCAACTATAAATAGATCTGAGAGCATCCACAGAGGATCAAAAGAATTTGCAAAGAGAGATAGATGATAAAGTATTGAGCACAGCCAAAGAGGGCTATGAGAAAAGATATTGCCTTTTGCGATACCTAACCTCGTGATCATCTCGATCTACTTGGGAGAATCACAAATGAACTAAAATACAAGTGATTACGCTCTGAATCTAATATATTTTTCGTTATATAAAGAAAATTCAACTAAACATTTCTCTAACCACTAGAAGTGTACTATCAATTCACCGAATCTATCCTAAATTTTCTTTTCATACAGAGCTATACAATCTCCCTAATTCACAAAAGCGGACATTTTCCATATATAAAACTCAAGAAAACTAAAATAGTGCTTCATGTATAAATGAAACAAATAAATAAGTTTGAAGTGTTTAGTTAGGCCATGGCTATTGGCTTACGTGGTAATGTATGGTAAACTATGTTTAACAGTACATATTATGTATTTTACAATTAGACTTTAGACCGACTTTTGTAGACTAAATTAGACTTTACACCGACTTTTGTAAACAAGGTTACGTTAGGTCACGACCTTGGCTGAGTGGCGCAAAATTATTTATTTTATAACTTCCAGGCAAGAATATACCCTTTTGCATTGTCTGTTCTAAAGGAAAATTATACTAACACCCCTTTTGGTTTGTCATTGAATCATCTACACCTCTTGATATTTAAAATATTATATACAAATCACCTTAAATTACATACAAACCCTTGAAATTTAAAACGTATAATATTTAGACCCTTTAAATTTAAAATATTATACTCCAATTAAAAATAGAATGTCAAATATTTTTAAATTTTTTAACCAATATTTGTGTTCAGCTGGTGAAGCTCTGGGCATGATAAAAAAAGTAAAGCATGGAGGTAACAGAGTAATAAATCAAGGAGTTTTAAATATTATCAAGAAAAGTGACTGAAATAGTCGAATCACACAAGTCTACACAACATCCATCCTACCTCTTGTGGATGAGGAAGTTAATGTTGAAGCACATTTTAAAATCAATTATGAGTGTCCGAGTTGTATGTTTATCTCCGTGAGACATTGCTATAAACGAGAGACACGTACGTTGAGCTTAACTTTATAAAAATTTATGTTAATAATTTTTTTTTTTTTTAAGAATAATACCTTAAGTAAGCATAATTTGAACCATGCAACGTGGCAAACGAACCACAAAAGGTTGAACAGAAAAATGAAATGATCTGTAACCATGCTCATCTTGCTGCTTAACTGTCCTCAATAATGCACTTGGGGACACCAATAATTGTGAAGTACTACAAGTACCAGAAATGATTAAATTCAATTTCTTCACCTGTGTTCTTGATCAGACAGCCAATAGTAGTAGTTACCTCTGGAATTGTACCTTAATACTCCAACCACCAGAATTAAATCCAAAGATGATCGCATATGCCATGTTTGCATTCAACAAAGCAGGTGGAATTACAGATCAATGCTTAGTAATATTGATACATAAATGAAGGATAATTCGTGTCTGAACGTATGATGTAATGTAAATAATTTTGAAAAAAATATTAATAAATGTTAAATGAGTTTATTTAACATCGTCGAATGAGTTCATTGAAGTTTACACTATTTTATATTATACATATCTATAACATGTATCTTGCATACCTAAAAGAGATACATTTTACATACCATGGGGTTGTAAGTTGTAACTGAAAAAAACATCATTTTGATCTATAAGTTCCTCATCTTGTGATGCTCGGGTTATTACTCACATGCAAATAGGGAGTTTCTGTCAAGTTTTTGGCAATTGAAACTTGCGAAAAAAGTAGAAGGATGAATTTTAAAAAAGAAAAAAAAATTTAAGAACCAAAATCCGAATCAGTTCATAATGAGAGGATGAAAAGTGTAATTAATCCAATACAAAACAACAAGAGTTGACGACGTATTAATTAAGGGTTTGATCCATCTGATCAGTGTATTACTTTAATCCATCTGATCCCTTGCATGTCGTGTGTGAAAAAGTCAAAGGTGGGGCTACAGAAATAATTGGCGGAAGTCAACATGATTAGCGGTTGTGGTCGGTGGAGATTTGAATGACAAAAGTAAAACAATAAGCATACATTATCAAATGATGAGATTTTTTTTGCTACATTTGAATCAATATATAATTAAATTTGGAAAGTAATAAATATACCGAGGATAAAAAAGTTAAATATTTAAATTTAAATAAATTACCGTGATTAAAAGATATTAATCGTCGAATCAAAACGATCTAAATCATTGTTGTGCTTTTTGAACTGAGTAGCTTAAATAGCTAAAGTAGAAGACTCCGTTTTATTAATATAGATAATAATTCTATGCATAGAAATGAGGTACAATTTATTCATTTAGTTGTTTTTTATTAGGTAGTAATATTATGTATTGATGATGATATTGTGTCACTTTTATATTGAATATTTAATCTAAAGAATGAAGGTAAGATTTTAAGTTTTACATTGCGGGTTTTACAGGTATTAAGAGTTTGAATTATAACCATTATCCCGAAAATAATGAGTCTTTCAGACCATTATTCATCTTTAACGAGAGTTGTCATGTCCTTCTAATTTTTTTTTATTTTGTAGATAATCGAAAATTGTCTCAACTATGTAATTATTGAACTCATGGTTGTAACATAAAATTAAAATTTATATATTCAATTCAAACCATGAATATTGAATCAAGGACTTTAGAGAATCTTTAACAAAAAAATCTCAAATTACTGGTCACTAAGTCCTGCCAAATGGTCATTACCCCTCTCATGCCAATGGGAAGAGTCAAATAACATAAAATTATTAACATCAAATCAATCACAAACTCTTTTGAGAACCTTTGATTAAAAATTCTGGAATTATTGGATATTAAGTCCTATTAATTGGTCATTTCAAACAAAATAAAACTAAGAGGATCGAAATTAATCTAAAAGTCTTTCAAAAATCTTTACCTAAAAAAAGTATAAATTACTAAGTGATTTGTCAAACGATAATTTTTACTTTGATCGTGATGGGAAGACTTGAGCTAAAAATAATGGATGACATATTGTCACACATTAGGGGAACCTGTCATAATTTTTAATACGGATACGTGGCTACAACCCAGGTAGCTTATAAAATAAAATAAACAACGCATAATGAAATGCAGCACCTGAAGTAGTAACTTTCTGTTGTGGGTAGGTAGT